ACCTGAGAGACAAATCTCATATGCCCAAGAACTAAATATTAGAAGTACAATTTAGAAAAAAAAGTCAATTGAAAAGGTCACTTAAAGAGAGAGACCAAGAAGTCTAAAGTTGCTAACACGTATTCGCAAAATTCAGTATACCTAAATATCAAAGATTCATAATTCCCTCAATTTTTATCCAAATAATGTAATTTTGGTGTTTATGAGAATCTTATAATATGTAAATTATAACTACATATGTTTCATGACTAGAAGTATGGCCAGAAAAATGGAAAAGGAGATTGGAATCTATTCCTGCCAAAATTCATGTTTTTCTGCTTTCTGCTTTTCCAAATATCTAAAACTTCATAATTTTTTCATTTCTTATCTGATTGTGCAATTTTGGTGTTTATGGAAAGCTTATAATATGTTGATTTTAACCAAACAAATTTGGTTGCCATTCATTTAAAAAAGAACAAAATCACCGGAAGTGCTACTGGACAAAATCTTTGCATTTGTTTTCCTTTTTAGCTATCTACCATGCATAAAGATCTTATGAACTTAAATCCTAATTTGACTTTAAGTATTTACCTTGTTTGTTGCATATTATCTTATCTCCTTCCTCTCTTCTCTTCTCTTCTCTCTCTTCTTAGGTTTTGCAGGATTTTCTTTTTTTTTTTAAGATTAACATCCAATACATAACTTGTACTAAAAACAAATTCCAATAAATAACCACATATATGTAGGTGGCTATCTCCCATAATAAAAAAACCCTAACAACTTATACTTAATTCTGAAATAGCCCCTAAAATTTTATAAAACTATAATATGATACTCTTGGCTTCATAATTAGAAAATAAGAATTATTTTTTCCAGGCTTGGTATTACAGTCAGAATTCATGAAAATGAGCCTTGTTGAGTTTGGGTCTTATTATGGTATGTCTAAGCCAAACATTAGGGTTGTCTAGCAAACTTTTCTCTTTGAAATTATTTTTGGAACTAGGCTAGTTGTAGTTCTTAATATCCATGTAATTACCTGAGAAGCTGACCGGTTATTGTATGACAGAATAATTGTATTTCATGTCTTATCAGCAATGGTTTTGCATTTGATTCACACTTTGCATTTCTAATTTTTAATTTTTCTTTTCTGGGTACACTTTTGAATAATCTATTGATATTATTAGGTTAAATACCTGTGGCTTCTTTTCGACTTGGCTGTGGGTCCAGATAACCTTGTTGAAAATGGGCCATACAAGTAAGGGCTTCGGATCTTTTATTCTGTGTGTGTGTATATTTCAGTTTTCTATTTGATAAGCAAGAACTGTTATTTGGTAATGCTTCCCAAGTACTGAAATAATACAAAAGTTCTGTGAACTTTCCTTCTGTTATATCTAGGATCTAGCACTGAGTTGGAAACTTTTCCATGAACAGGTACGTTTTTAGTACTGAAGGCCACTTACTGCCTGCAACCCCACAGATATCCCTTGTGCAGGAGCATTGTGCATATCTGGGAGCTTACTGTAAAAGTGACGAATTCAAACAAGAAGCTTATGCATCGGACATCTCTTCTGAAGTTCAAGAAACTAATGGTAGTAAATTTTCTGTAGGCAGATCTCAGACTAGTTTGCCTTCACATTTCTCTTATGTAGAGCCAATTCCTATATCAGGGCTGATTAAGGTGAGTGTGGAGTTTTCTTTGCCTGCATTCTAATAGAGTTGTGATGATTTTCACATCATTGATAATCCTGCTCTTTGGTTTCTCTTTTTTTCACATCTCATGTAATGCAAAGTGAGACGGTAAGGAATTTATTTTAGCTTGAATATTTAATGGCAAGTTAAGCTAAGAACAGTAAAGAACCCGAAAAATGGTTTCAGCAGTGACAATAGTAAGGGACCCTAGCAATGAGAATATAGATAATATGCAAAAATTCTTCTGAATCAAATTTCTATTTTACTATGTTTGGTGGTGGAATTCATTTACAAATCTATATCTTTTTTGTAGAATGTTTTTGGAATAAATATTTTGAAGTCTACATATCTTTTAATTAGAGAAAGTAAAAAGTTCATAGGCAATTCCACTTGGAGTTTCCTATATAGTCATTTTTTATTATATCTAGTAAAGCTTTCATCATCTAGTTCATGAAGTATATATTTTCAAATGAATTCCACAAACAATTCTTGATTTATTGCAAGCTTAGCCTTAGATTTTGATCTGGAGGGGTATTAGTGGAGGAAGAAACATTTTTGAGATAAAAGTAAGTATATTAAAGAAGATGCCAAGGGAGCATCACCCGTATACAAGACTCAGAATTTACAATTCAGTAAAAATATCTACAACGGATCCAAAATCCTCTATACTATCAAGATTGTGGCCTAAAACAATAGGAATCTCATTTCTTTTGCTATCTTTTGGGTGGTGTAAAAAGAGAGTTTTTGAGGGGGTGGAAGATGAGTTTGATAGGGTTGGAGATAGATGGTTCTAAACTTTAGGTTTTTTGGTTATGGGTTATTCTCTTTATACAATGGAGGATTTTGGGATCTCACTGATATTTTAATTGACATATAATTTATATTTTTGTACGTGGGTTGGCACCTTTTTGGTGTTTGTGAATTAGATACAATACTTTGTATTTTTTTAAAAAAAAGAATTATTCCCATCTACAGAATTTTCCATCTTGAACTGCTATTTTCTAGATGTAACTGTCTCAGCATGTCTCTTTCTCTACATGAACTGCTGTTTCTTAGGTTTTTAGAGAATCATCTTAGGTGGTTTTGAAAATTATGTAATGGAAGGTGCTCTCCTACTTTGTTTAGTTTTTGCTTGTGTGTCATTATGGTAGGTGTGAGGAGCTTCAGATGAAGGCAAATCAACTATGTTTGTGGGGGGTGATTTTTCTTTAACATCCATGTTTTGGAGGCTAGAGAAAACAGATTTTGGATCATCATGGAGAGAGAAGTAACTGCATTGTTGATGGATTAACTTAAGCAATTGAGGTGCAACAAGGAGCAGAACACACATAGTGGTATGGTATGTTTAGATATCCAATATACTTTATTGGGACTGAAGTGCTAGAAAACTAACGTGGAAAGTTCATAATGATCACTGAATTCTTGGTGATGGTAGAAAGAAGGTGATTATCGTTCCTGGATGCATTGATGGCCAAGGATGGCTCAGAATGGCAGATATGCTTCATAATCTGATAACAATGTAGATTTCAGGGGAGATTGAAGAGTTTCCAGGTTCAAAAGGAGTTGCGGGGAAAAAAAAATACTGCAGTGTTAGTCAGTGTTGCCCAGTAGGAAAACAAGAATCAACAAGTATTCTCTTGCATGGTGTTAGATCTAGGATTGGGAAGTAAAATAGGAGCAAGAAGTGAAGAGTTTCTTGAGTTGATTGAAGGAATAGATTGTTGTGGAGGTGGAGTTGTAGAATCCGCATGAGCTGACAACTGCATCAGTCTTGTGCAATGCAATGAACGGCGACCCACTCAGGTTCTCGCACTGGATTGACCTCTGCATGACTTTGATATAAACAAGTCAATACTAGCTTCTATAGCATTACAGGTAAATAGCAATAAAATCTAGTATTCTGTAGATGATCCTCTCAGAAGTTTCAAAATTCAGTCTTTGATAGGCTTGGGCAAAAACATAATTTTATCCATAAATACCATGTTCCATATAGAATCTAGTATCGACTTGTTTTGGGTTTCAAAGACATCTAAAGCTTATTGGTATAAGCTTTTTAAAGGGCATGCAAACAATGGGTTAAAATTTCTATGCCCCCTGCATTACAGTTGATATGACTAATTTGGTTTAGAGTTGACTACAATCTGGCTTTTCGATTGATGATTCAAGTCGTACCAATAGTCATCTGTGATCTTGTGCAGATAAAAAGAAACAAGTTTTGCCTGAGTTATCTTCAAGTCTTAATAAAATCAGGTCACTTATTGTTAGTTGAGATAACTTTTCTTCTGTTGGCACTGATAAGGAGAGTGATAGGGTCAGAGAAAGGTGGTTATGGAAATGGAAATTAAGGTTAGAGAAGAATTCTATGGCTCTTATGGAAAAGTAAGGTGGCTTTTTTGTTCTTCAAGAAGGGGAGAGGTCATATGACAGTTGGGCAGAACAACTGTCTATTGTTGTTACAGGATAGGAGAAGGAAGATGAGAGTGATTCTTGATTCTATTACTTCTTCTTTCAATTTTCTTAATTTAGAAGGGGATGATTTTTTTTAAGGCGAGGATGGTAATTTGTTGCTTGATGAACTATTTATGGATAATTACCTGTAGGGAGAGCATTTGGAACTTCCAAAGCCTATTGAAGAGGAGCATATGGAAGAACTCCCAAAGCCTAGTGCGTGCGAAGTTTGTAGCAACCTTGTGAACACGACACATGCACAAGTGAAGTAAATGGTGGGTCTGGCCCACTTAAACAGCATAGTGAGGAGGCTTGGAAGGAACTTAAGAGAGGATCAGAGCTTTTAATTTGTTCAGGGAGTTGGTCTTTCTGTTCTTTCAACTTTTTTCCTTATTCATTCCCAAATCTTACCATTTTTCTGTACCTCTAGATTCTTCTTTTTTGCAATTTGAGGTCATTGAGAAAGCAAACTTTAGTGATGGAATACTTCCACATCCAAGGGGCAATCGAATTTCTTCTGAAGCTCGCTGTTTTTGTATGAGGGAAAAGATATATCTTTGGATAGGAAAAGAAATTTAGAATCCAATTGAGTGTCTAGATCAATTAGATTTTTGATAAATGGAACCTACATGCAAGGTTATGAAAGTTCAGATTTCACCTAGAACTTTTTTTTTAAGATAAAAAAGAACGTATATTAAGTATAAAGCACCAAGGGGGTGTCGCGCTGTACAGGATATTTATATGTCTATTAAAACATCAAAAACCTTCCCAAAAGCGTCCCACTCATATACATCATGCCCCAGAATTAGAGACTCAAAAGTATGTATTCACCTATTTCTAATTCTGCTCAAATCTCCCACACACCCATCAAACGCTATATTGTTCCTCTATTTCCACACCACCCAGAAAATAGTTAAAGGAATGAGTTTATAATTTTCGAATTCTTTCCAACCCCATCCAAAGCCCAAAGTTCATTCTTTATTGTACCCCCGATCACCCAATTGATACCCAGTAAACTATAAATCATACTCCATATGCTATAAGTCACCAGACGCCAAGGAAGGAGATGATTGTGTGATTCAACTACCTCCTTACATAAATAACAACCATTAACCATAATGTGGCCCCTTCTCATCAACTTGTCTGTAATGAGGATGCATTCTCCACCTGCTTTACAAGTAAAAAAAAAACAATTCTCGGTGGCGTTTTCACTTTCCATATCTGCAAAGTCGGAAATCTCACACTTTCTCCCTTTCTATTGGCCAAATGGTCATAAAAGGACTTGACTATAAAGATACAATCTTTCTTTAGTTTCCATATAGCCTTATCCTTGTAAGCTTCAAGATGCACATCGGCCAGTAGTTGATGGAGCCTAGTAAAACTCGTCAAGCTCTCAATCGTTAAGGTTTCTAGTCAGGTTCATGTCCCAGCCACTCTCCCATCCACCCCTCTGAAGACTTCCTCCACCACCACATTCTTCCTTAGGGGTAAAGCATATATTCTTGGGAATTGATCCATAAATTTAATGCTCCCAATCTACTCATCCTCCCAAAAGTTAATGATATTACCTCTCT